TTTTAAAGCCTCTAATTTTACCTATTTAGCGTCCCTGGATTTTTTTTTAAGACAGGAAAATTGCTTTTGCTTTCTTACTGATGTAGTGTTCAGACTTGACATAACAGGAGGTTGTCTAACCTTTTCAGGATATAATATACTGTAGATCCCTGTGTAGACTGTAATTGAGTTGGATTTATATAAGATACACCTGTGCACAAACCCAGGTCAAGATAATTATTAAAAACATATGTATAAAATACCATAAAATATAAAAAAGTGGACATAAAAACATTTTTATCTGGACCTGGATTAAGTTCAATATTTCCAGTGACTAAAAGAATATTAAACAGAAGTCTTAAATGTTGTTTCCGACTGGTTAAAACAGAGTCTGTTATATCCGTGCCTTTAGCACTAATGTCTTTTATCCACTGATGAAAAACAGTAACATAGTAACAGTAACATAAATTACTACCTGATCAGGTGAGGTTCCGAAGCCAGTCAGTAGCTTGCTGTTATTTTCTTCGCTGAATGGCGCACACTTCAAGGCTTGAATAACATGATTCCCACCATGTCAGACACGAGCGTGCTCACCAAAACCAGTAGCTCCAGTTTGATCCTCAACCGAAAAACAGGGCACGGCTTATATTGATCCAAATAGGCAGCAGGGAAGCTGGTACGCCTCACTTGTTAGATTAGTCACTCCGTCCCGGCTCCCACCGCCACGCGTCCAGGCTGACAAGTCCACCCCAGGCACTCCGTCCAAACACGAGGGACAATCCGAGGGCCGAGGGACTCCATCCACATCCGCCACTCCACCGAGACACGCCACAACAGCAGCAAGCCAGAGAAACCAGCCCAACCGGCAAGGTAGATGATATTTACCAAAGTTAGGATAAGCTATGGTCGATGCTTGTATACACGCCATAGGACGCTTGTGTGCTTTTGTTTTTCGAAAATGATGTCCGTCATTTGCGTCTTTGATCTTCCGTTTATATAGCATACAGAGTAATAACAACACTAAAGCTGAGGTAAATTTGGTCAAAAACAGACCTGCAGATGCCTGTAAAGCCAAATGGGATGTATTTTCCTGTAGCGATACTGCATAGCTACATACATCTGCCGCCACCGCCGCCATCTYGTTTGGATGAAGGAGAGGCCTTAATCCTTTGTGGCATAGATTCAGCAAGGTACTGGAAATATTCCTCAGAGAGTCTGGTTYATATTGACATGATAGCATCACACAGTTGTTGAAGATTTGTCGGCTGCACATCCGTGATGAGAATCTCCTGTTCCACCACATCCCAAAGGTGCTCTATTGGATTGAGATCTGGTGACTGCGGAGGCCATTAGAGTTCAGTGAACTCATTGTCGTGTTCAAGAAACCAGTCTGAGATGATTCACACTTTATGACATGGTGTGTTATCCTGCTGGAAGTAGCCATCTGAAGATGGTACACTGTGGTCATAAAGGGTTGGACATGGTCAGCAACAATACTCAGGTAGGCTGTGGTGTTGACACGATGCTCAGTTAGWACTAATGGGCACAAAGTCTGTCAGGAAAATATCCCCTACACCATTGCACCACCACCAGCAGCCTGAACCGTTGATACAAGGCAGGATGGATCCAGGCTTTCATGTTGTTGACTCCAAATTCTGACCCTACCATCTGAATGTTGCAGCATGAAGCGAGACTCATCAGACCAGGCAACGTTTTTCCAATCTTCTCTTGTCCAATTTTGGTGAGCCTGTGTGGATTGTAGCCTCAGTTTCTTGTTCTTAGCTGACAGGAGTGGCACCCAGGTGGTCTTCTGCTGCTGCAGCCCATCTGCCTCAAGGTTTGATGTGTTGTATGTTCAGAGATGCTCTTCTGCAGACCTCGGTTGTAACGAGTGGTTATTTGAGTAACTGTTGCCTTTCTATCAGCTCGAACCAGTCTGCCCATTCTCCTCTGACCTCTGGCATCAACAAGGCATTTCGCCCACAGAACTGCAGCTCACTGGAAAKTTTCTCTTTTTTGGACCATTCTCTGTAAACCCTAGAGTTGGTTGTGGGTGAAAATCCCAGTAGATCAGCAGTTTCTGAAAAACTCAGACCAGTCCGAAGGCACCAACAACCATGCCATGTTCAGTCATCTAAATCACCTTTCTTCCCCATACTGATACTCGGTTTGATCTGCAGCAGATTGTCTTGGCCATGTCTACATGCCTAAATGCATTGAGTTGCCGCCATGTGATTGGCTGATTTGACATTTATGTTAATGAGCAGTTGGACAGGTGTACGTAATGAAGTGGCTGATGTATATCGCAATGAATACTTTGTTTGTATCAGTAGAAACAATGACAATATATTTTGTGATAGACACATCATAATTATCATTAGAAAAATACATCTGATAGAGTGTTAATAAATTCACTTAACCACAATCCAGAACCGCACGGCATTCTTGGGGGTTATGTAGTCAATGGAAATGCTTTGGTTGCTCGACCTCTTATGGCCCAGCTAAGCAAGGTTGGTGGCATCAACTAACTCACTCCCTCTTCGGTAAGCTTGCACCAACCTGTTGAGGAACGTAGCAGTTTCATGTTTCACCATCTGCTTAAAAATAAAAAAGAGCAACGTGGAGTGAAAGGTGAAATTGTGGATAAAAGAGGGAAAGTCACGTCACCAGTTTGGCCGTACTTATTTCAAGTAGATAAAACGAAAAGCTACTCAACTAATGTACACACGTATATTGTTATACATTGTTCAGCCTTATTGTCCAGCTCTAGTTTTCACTGTCCTGTGCTCATTGTCTTTCAAAAGGATTATACAGCCATTTGCTACATGCTATTGTTCTTTATTTTATTGCACATTTTAGTTTAGATTTTAGAAAGAATGTCATTCCGTTGGTGTTAAAAATGTTAAAAATTATAACAAAAGGTTGTTGTTTTTTTACTTCTGACTTAACAATACCGTAATTCCCTACAATCTAGTACTTTTTTGTGAAAACAAAAAAGGAGAAAAGGGACCTTTTTGGTGTGAAAGAAACACATACCAGTGTGGTTCAGTGCCTTACCTGTGTAAAGAAACACAGTTGGTGTGATGTTATCAGAAACACAGTTTGTGTGATGTTATCACTGACACAATGCTCACGGCATGGCGCTGTCTTCAGCCTCTATAACAAAGGTCACATTCCTGCTGAAAAGGTCACATGTTTGAGTCACAGGTCAAGTCAAATAAAGGAGAAGGGCTGTTTGTTACCATCAGCCATGTGCTCATTTCACATACACCGGTGTTTCTGTGTGTAATTGTGTTTGTGTGTGTTCTGCTAGGAAGGAGTGGGGGTTAGCTCATAGTTAGATCCACTGGTGGGATTTAGCTGTAAATCCTGCTTCATTGTCATTTATAGTGGAATGTACTAGTCATCCGTGTGTGTGTGTGTGTGTGTGTGTGTGTGTGTGTGTGTGTGTGTGTGTGTGTGTGTGTGTG